CCAGTGTCGCGAATTCAGGGTTGATAGTTCCTGAGTGCAATCACGCTTCCGTTATGTGGATGAGGTTTCAGGCGTGCGATGTTTGACGAAGTCGAAGTTCAGCAAGTTTTTGGATGAGGCCTCGTGTTTTGGTGTATAAGCAGGAAAGTTTATTTGGGGAAGGTTCGTCGCAGTTAGACTCCAACAGACAGCCAGCACATATACAGGAAAGCACTAGACGGCCGTTTCATCCTATTGTGATTCGTCGGTACAGCGCACCCGCCGAATCCAGTGGGATTCAAACCTACGACCTTACTCTTGCGACCCAGCAACTTATGCCACTGAGCCATGGGCGACCGCAGCGGACCGCCATGACTGATATCTGACCGCGATATAGCGCGGCCCAACCTCCACCGTCATGCTTGTTATGTAGGTGCAGAAGACAGGGCTAGTCCCCAGAGCAATGAATTGCTTTGCAAGCCTCCACTAATCGAGGTGACACGTAAGCTGCTAAGGCGACTACGGGGTATTTGTAAGTAGCAGGGTTAGTGGATAGTTGCTCCGAGGGCCAGCCCTGTCATCCGCACTTTCATAACGCGCATAACAGTGGAGGATGAGCAACGCTATATCGTAGTTAGAGATCAGCCATGGCGGTTCTCTGCCGTCCCCCATGGCTCAGTGGCATAAGTTGCTGGCTCGCAAGAGTAAGGTCGTAGGTTCGAGTCCCACTGGATTCGGTGGGTGCGTGCTTCTCAAGAGTTCCAATAGGAAGAAAAAGAAAGCTAGTGTTTTCCTGCACGTGGTGGCTGCCTGTCTGAGTATAACTGCTATGAATCCTTACAAAAACCCAATACATTTCCCTACCTTCCATATAATGCAAGAAAGTTGCTGTGATCTGGGTAGTGAGTCAGGGGTCGTGTGTTTCAGATGTGAGGTTGTAAGATCACTCACTAAGCATTTTGGTGAAGCTTTGTTAAATGTGTCTGTGTCAGATTCAATGATCCAGCAAATTGCACTGTGGTCATTGCTTTGTTTACAACTCATGGATTGTGACAATCAGTTTCGGTCAATAAGAGTTGGGATCGACTGCTCCAAAGGTCGGTATACCGTCGGTGGTAGCTGTGTGCGTTCAGGCTCGCCTCTTCCATCTGTTTTAGATCCAGTTGGGATAACTGAAAGCCTATCTTCCCTAATGCTCTTGGTAGAGGCCACGTTCCAGCCACCACACGTATCAATACCATTCTGGGATTTTGAGGGCCCAGGTCGTAGGTATTCTAGTAGGACTACAGATACGTTGCTTAGGTGTATCAGGTCCACTGGTGGTATTGATATGCTGAGTAGGGTCCAAAGCCATATGTGGCGCGGTTTAACAGGCTGCTCATCCTTCTTTACCAGACCTGAAGCGGAGACCGTTGGGAGGACTGAGACCTACTCACCGTCATATTCTGTCGTAGTGAAGGGATTATGGCGTTTGCCATTTGTTGCGGCGGTTCCACCAGTCGCTCGTAGTTCTAAGGTAGTTCAAGTTCGATGTTGACCAGTGCGATAGCCCCACGTACTACACAAATCCAGAGTATGCTCTGTTGCTGTACAGACTTACTTAGCGCCTTTAGGATAGAAGCAGCTAAGGCAGTTGAAACACTGAACTTGATCTGCTTTTTATTGAAGTGAACTTAACCTGCAGTGTCCATTCTCATTGGCAGCATAAGGCGCGGCTGGGTCGATCAATATTGCCCACCCTACCAGCTTGCCCTTGTTTGTGCATCGCGAGTCGACGCCGGACCGCGTGACCGACTGAAGATTGCTGCGCGTGGCTACCTCACTGTGTTTGCACACCAAATTAATTGATTCTGATGTGTGATATTCTGCAGCACCACACGATGCGTCACAAAGCGTAGCGGGGTAGGTTGGGCGACTCTATTAGTCGCTTAAAACCACTGGGAGATGTAAGCAATGAGATCGATCAAGAAAGGGCAGTAAATGATTTATTTAATTAGCGGCCGACAGCTGTCGTTGCTGATTTGTCACATAGGTCAGATTTGGCTCTCGTTTGGGATTGCATATGTTCTTGTACGGCTCAGAAGTTTGACATTTTGAGCGCGTGTGTTGCAGAAGCAAAGTGTAATGTGGAGGTAAAAGGTGATCCGCACGAGTTATATCCAAAAGATGGGGTGCATTAGCTAGCGCTCAAATTGGAACATGCACACGCGTATGCGATGTGAACTGAAAGGGTAATTCAGAGTGAAGTAGAAGAGCCAAAAAATGCGACCACAGAGTACTCCTCAGATTAATAGAGAACTCACGTTAAAATGCATATCAGCAACTAGAGCTGCACTCTCTCAATTACAATCAGTGCTATCCTAGTGGGAGTCTGCTGATTAATTGATCTCTGGCCCAGCAACAATTCACCTGTAGTCAAAGCTTAGCTCTGGTTATATAGAGCACGGTTAACGGGGAATTGTGAGCGGATTGGTTCCAACCAAACATATACCACATTGCAACGCGTATTAGCCATTCAGTGGAGTGTCGATTGCTCTTAGCCACCTGATCTACAGGTATTCCACCCTGCATGACATTGTACTCAACTTCCGCCACCACGAAACCTAGGA